TAATGAGCACTCCGTCATACTTTTACGGAAATGGTGTACAAAGAAGAGTGCTTGTGACTTTAATTAAATTACAATTTATTCGGATGTTAAGATGAACAGAAAAAAGTTCACGACGAAGCAGAGAAAGTCAAAGGAGACACAGTAAAAGGGGAGAATTATTATTTTGGGAGTCCCCCAATCCGTGAACCTGCTTGCAAATGGGACGTAAGTGGAGCGCACCCTACAATGCATTGAAGCAAAGGAATGAGTCGCTCGGGGCACCGGCGTCTGCCGGGCGGCCGCCGGGCGCCCTACATCCCGCGGGGGACGGGGAGGGCGCCGTTGCGTCGCCGCGTGGGACGCGGGCCGCGGAGGTCGAGCGGCGCGCGCCGGCGCGGCGGCCGCGGGCTGAGTCAGCCGGAGGCAGCTGCTGCGCGCCGGGTCACGGGTCAAGTGGCGCAGTCGCCGCCACAGCAACTCCACTCCATCCACTCCACTCCACTCCAGCCGGCGCCCTCCGGCCACCAGGTGCTCCCCACACCCACACATCGTTGCCTGCGGATCTCTAGGCGTTGGAAAGAATTGCCCAATTTACTTACGTTTTTGTTAAATAAATGTGATTTTCTCTAATGTTGGGCTTTAAGATTGTTTAACTAATCAATTGTGATTGCCTGGTGTAGCCCCGCTCTTAGTTTCGAAAAAAGTAGCACGGTAGTCCACACTTCAATTTATTACCACCATGTTACTGAAGAATAGAAAAGCGATCTCTTCAGACTTAGAAGATTGTATGCAGTCTGTTTATTTGCAATATGTTCCATTTCCAAAACATTGAGCCAAGTAGTTGAAATTTAGAAGAACGAGAGGAGAGAAATCACTTGGTGTAAATTCTCATTGACAAATTCACGAAATATTTACATATATTAATACAAAAAAGACAATATTTACCACTGAGCTTAAGTTTGGAGATAAAATATTAAAATCTTACTGAAAGTAGAAAAGAAAATAAATTGTCAAAATGAGATTACGTTATAATTACAAACAAAGCAGTTTGTGAGTTAAAGATAAGGAATTCTTCTTTTGGTGACTAGAGATAGCTTAATGTCTGCAAAGGTCTTACCACGCACTGCCCATGTAGAGACTAGTTGTTGTCGAGTCTAGGCTGGAAATACCAATTAATGGTGTCTTCAAGCAATTAACAGTTGTTCCATACTTATGTACTGCATTAATTTCCTACTAAATGCGTAATTGATTCATTTCCCCATACATTGGTTGCCCTCCTGCAGTTAACGTTGATAAATTCACGGACATAATGCATTAAAAAAATTAACTAGTTAAATGGAATGTTGAGGCATTCATCTTATCGAGTGTCCACTACAACTTGTGCCGCGTGCATAATCGTATTTAAATTAGCCAGAGCCGCGGTCTTTGTTGATCGCGCGTGGGTTTTTCAGAGGACTCGAATCTCATGGTCTGATATTCCAATGATTGGTCCCAGGTGTGCGAATGTCAAACTCTTCATTTTTTCTCGTTCGTTTTTTTAACTAATTTTAATTGGAACCAGCCTGCTGGAAAACGCGGGCTGTCCGCCTACGTTCCATTTTATATTCAACCGCCATCTGTCGTGCAATGGCAAAGAACATTTCTCCTAGTTCAAAAGAAATATCAACAATAATGTACGCTTGAAATGACGGGAAATTAAAAATTGGGTTGCACAAACAGTGGAAAAAATTTACACTCCTTTATGGCACAAGTGCAAAAGACTACTTCAAGAAGACGAATAACAAGCGTGAATATGGTACGTTCCCAGGAACATGTTCTAGTTATTTGAACTTGAATGTAGATCAATAAATTATTATATTATATATTAAGATGAATAAATGAACCTATGGTAAAAATCGGTCAGTACACGGCGTTTAAGTTTCCAAAGGTTTGCAGAAAATTTGCTTCAACTTCAGAAGAAAAGTTAGTGTGTATGTGTATTTGGAAGTAAATTATCAAGATAATTTATCTTGTGTATTTCGCCGTCTGTTTGGGATGTTAAGTTTAGGTTGCTTGTAGTTTGGGCCATTTTGGCGCTTACTACTAACTCTTGTATTAGTTTATGTATTTCATTATTTATCGTAAAACACTACGAGTGAAGTCTAAAAAGGTTTTCTGATGATCTCAGCGGCTTGATGAAAACGCGTCTATTCAATCGTTTATTCCAAACAAATGCATCCAACATTATACCGTAATGAATGCAACCATTACTTCGAAATTCTGAACTAATTTGAAAACATTTTTCTAATTTGGGCAAGAGGGCCCTACTTTTCAGGAACTCTTCGACTTTTTGGACGCGCTCGCCTCTCGATTAACGCTCTCGAAGGAATCCGTGGCTTTGGGCGGGGCGGATCGGGCGCGTGGGCGGGCGGCGGTGGGCGGTGGGCGATCGCAACGACGCGACGCTTCGGTGCGGCGGCCGCCCCGAATTTTTTCTCCTAATCCGAATAACCGGATAATTGGCCAGTGCTCCCGATGCTTGCTGCTGCTGCTGCTGCCGGCGGCGGCGGCGGCGGCGGCGGCGGCCCCATGTGCTCTGAGCGACCATCCAGCTGGCCTTGGAAGGCCACGGCCCCCGCCGGTGCCGCCGTGGCCGCGGCCCGTCCGCTCAAATCCTTGTTTCCCCGTGAAAGAGCCGGCAAAGGTGGCTCAGGGTATCGAACTCGGGTCCTAGGGTTCGCGTCCCAACGATGGCAGGATTTTCGGCACTATTACGTTGCTGGGTCGATTTTAGTCGCTGTGTGGGGGAGAATTCTAGCGGCTACCACACATGCCGGGAGACCAGTCGGGAGCTGCCTAATTAATTTGTAAATTTGGTTTTTCAGTTAGTCTTGAATTTAGGGATTGTAGTAAACGTTTACATGGTACGTGTATTTTACACTATCAAAAGGGGATTATTCTTTATAAAAAGTACAGTACCTACTGAATTTATTCATCTTATTTTGGAAGTGAAATTGTTAATATTGACCACTCTAACGTAATATAACGTCAGTGTCCAAAACCTTCAGATAATCGGCTTCACGTGATCCCTTTTCCTTGCTTTAAGACCAGATTCCTGTCATGTGAGTATATTTAATGTTCTGATGGAAAAGCCCCGGTCATGTAGATATTCGGAATATAAATACTTTTTTTCGTTACATGTATGTTCTTTTAAGGTTCTAAATGTGCTTTCATTCTTATTTAGAGAAACTTCATCTAAAGGGTGAATACAAGAAACAAAAAGATGGTGTCTTTGATTTTGAGGGCCCGAATTAGACGTAAGGAGTTTTGACGTTCTATTTATTGAAGTATCTCCAATAGGAATTGTCAATAAACGTGACTCTACAATTAAATATCATCATTTTTCCATTTTCTCCAACTCATACTTTGGAATTGTTCGGTCTGCCGTCGCATAAAATACCTTAACTTCTTTCCCTCCTTTTGACCGATGCCTGCGCATCATTGATTTCCTTCACCCTACAACAGCGGCCGTGAGTTGAATGCGCTCCCGCGATAGCACCATAACGTACCCGCTGTCTGTTCGGACAACAGAGAATGAGCCTGAAGAGAGCATAGGCCGCTCCTCAGACGGCGCGGCGTGGGATTTCCAAACACGGGAGCAGTGCGCTGGGCGATCGTCGGTTCGCGACGCGCGCGCGGCCACGCGGCCACGAGGAGAAACTGCCAGGCTGGGCGAAAGCAGTGTTACAGACGTGGATTAAGGATTAAGAAAGGAAAAGCTAAAACACACTTCAAATGTTGGGGAAAGCAAAGGTAGTAAAAGAAAAAAGAAAAAAGACAATTATTTCAAATTTGGAAAAAGAATCAAGATAGGTAAGAAAAAAGAAAGAAAAATATTTCAAATCTTGGGAAATATCAAAAGAAGGAAAAGAAAAAGGAAAGCGACAAACTTCGTATGTTGGGGAAAAAGCAAAAGAAGGAAAATAAAAGAAGAATAACGACAAATATTTCAATTGTTAAAAAAGAAGTGCGTACAAAATGTAAAAGGTGTCTATGTAAAACCTAAAATTACTATGAAACGCAAAATAAGAAAGCAACATTAGCGAAAGAAAACTGCGCTATTACATTTTCTCTCATGTACTGTTTCTTGACGATAAATAATCATTTCATGACGATAGATCAAGCAAATTCCTGAAGGAGTAGTAAAGAAAGTGTTTAACATAGTAAAAACAATTTTTTGAATCATGATGTTTACGTGTAATCGTCAGGTAATTACTGGTATTCGTCAATAAAAAGCTGGCGACTCGCGGAACGCAATTGAACTGAGTGGCCCGAAGGCTACTATGTAGGAAAGCGTGCTGCCCTCATTGTCAGGTGTTGTATAGTATCAGAAGTTACAAATACGCCGTTAAAACTAACAGACTTACTGGAAAGTATTTGGTTCTCTAAATAAATAGAGTGCAGCTCATTTTTTCCAATATCTAATTCGGACATATTTGAAAAATATAATTTTTATTTTAAAATTATTTTATGCCATTGCCATTTTCCTTCTTGGATATTTCAAACCTATATTGGTAATAAATAATATCGGAGGTATTTACAGTGTTTTCATTCATACTTTCAAAATTGAAAACAAAGTTAATATTAATATTTCTAAAATGTACTTAACCAAGTGTAGCGGTTTCTGGGGCCAGCATATTTGCTCCGTTGTTACTGACGTTTGCCATTCTGCCGGTACTGACCTGCATTGTGTGCTTGTGTGTTGCAGACGACCATCAAGGTGTACGCGCGCTGCCTGCGCCTCGACATCGAGTACAAGACGCTGAGCATCTCGTTCCAGACGACCTCTCGCGAGGTGGTGGCCTCGCTGCTCAGCAAGTACCGCATGCGCCACCGCGACCCCAAGCTCTTCTACCTCACCATGGAGGTGACGGTGCGCAAAGCCGGTGAGTGTGTACGCCGGGCGCCCAGCCCAACCGGCTTAGATGGCTCGGGGTAGCGGCCGTTGCCACCGCAGCGTTACTGACCGGGACATCCTAGTTCATAGGGTTCGATCCACAGGAGCAGTGGTCTAGTTCTTGCGATCGGTTATTCTGATCGATAGTTGTCCTTGGTTTCTTTGATTAGTGTCAAGCGAATGTTGTCATTAACAAACCCGCGTCCGTGGACAGCATGCGATAATTGCTTCCTCATCCTGGTTAGCTTCTATCCCCTTAAATACATACAAATACACACAGGCACGCTCTGCACTACCCCACGTGGGAGTTAGGAGCTTGTGCGAGGGCGTGACTGGGGGCGAAGCTCCGTTGGCGGAGATTTCTGTACTGAGAACATCCGACCGATGTGTAGGTCAGCGCCGGAACTTATATTCTCTTCGGGGAGAGTCACCGCTGCCTCCCAGGATATAACGTGCACTCCACTAACGGGTCTAATGACAATAGCAATTGACGGGCTCAGAGACAAAATTATCAATTGTCAGGGTAATGTCAAGACATATGCTTTTGTTCGCGAGTTCTAGGGTTGGGGGGGGGAGTAAAATTTAAATTTTCAACAAATGACATAATGCCATTTGAGGCAGGCTTGTATCCACGTTTAGGGAAATTTCTCCCCGGAATTTTTTTTTTCAGTAACTATTAATTTTAACCACTCACGAAACTTGAAAGCAAAAAATAAAAAAAAAATAAAATAAAATCGGATAATCATTAAAATGAATAAAATCGTATCGTAGCATGAGCTGAATGTAGCGTACATTTTACAATATGACACATTTGAGCTAACATTTTTGAATCTCTCCACCTCCCAATTTGTCTCTGGATGCGCCCCTGTTTGAGGCCGAATGTTTTGCTCGCGTGCATGCTGGTCCATGATGCAAGGATGCGGGGATAATTTTGCTCATAACTCAAAGCGTTGCCAATCAGCACGCGCTGGTCACATGACACGTTTTTTAAAATACTTTTGCGGGGGGGGGGTGTTTTTACCGTGTTAACCGGCGAGACCTTTCAAAATTTTCTGTGAATTTTATGAAGTTCTTCAGACTTTTCGACGAAAGAGTTGATTAAACAATAATAAATAGTATTTTATGAACAAAGTTTGAAACGTTAGCAGTAATTGTGATTCAAGAATTCACCAGTGAAAAATTCGTATTTGTATGAATTTATAGGAGAATAGTTAATTTTTACCAAAGCAAACAATACACCGCACACCACTCACTTTTCCTACTTTCTTTTGATCTCCAATGTAAAGAGATTACAATAATTTAAAAACTTATATTAATGTGTAACTGTATTAATAATTAAAATTATTTACAAAACTTTAATAAATAATGAGTAATATTATTTCATGTATTTTGAAATTTTAACTGTTGCAGGTATGCGAACTGTGCTAGTGCTTGATGAAGAAGCTCGACCAGCTGCCTTACAGTCTTGCCATCCACGAGGAGATTCTAGGTATGCTTTTTAAATTCATATTCACCTTCTTATTTACTGAAAAATCTTTAAAATATCAGCTAAGTGTAGATTTCTGTTGTCATATAGTTATAATTTTTTTTTACTTTGCAGATTCTCACTACAAATGAGACGTGGAGGACTGGTGAAAATATATGACAGTGTATTGATGCCTGGGGTAAGTTTAAATTTCAAAGTCATATCACAGAACTAATAAAATAAAGGAGGGATAGAAAACATCTTTGTGAATATGTCCAAAAAGTACCAAATGTAATTGGCATTGTGGTCTGTTTATTTATTTCTTTAACATAAAAACTATTTAATAATTTTATTAGCTATTGTTAAAGTCAATATCATTGCCGAATATTTACAGTCTTTTTTAACCTTTCTGCTTTAGTTGCTGAAGAAGCCCTTTAGTATGTTGTTTTAGTTCAGAAATGAATGTCTTCTCAAATTCTAAACAGAGCTGTTGTTTAACTCTTATTTTCTTTGTCTAATTTGCAGTCTCTGTACAAGAGCCTACTGGTGTCAGAACGCACAACTGTGGATGACCTTCTTCAGCTACTATTAAACTGCTATGGCAGCCAGGAGCGAGTGGAGCAATTCTCTCTCTATGAGGTGTGCCGCAGCCAGGAGTATCAACGCAAACTGCACCCTGATGACTGCCCATTGCGTGTTCAGCAATGCTGGCCATCTCCTGGAGAGTTTCACTTTCTGGTCCGGCGCAATGTCCAAGACCTGGGTTTCCGTCCTCGCCGCAAGGTAAGGATGCAAGTTCAAGTTGACATCTTTTAATTGAGAACATTATGGTGAACTTTGTAGATTTTACATAGAAAGATTCCTTTTCCAAAGACGAACTACAAAGGTTAGACAGAAAAGTTATTGCAAAGGTCAAGGAATGATCCACAAGTTTTCCATACATTATTTAAGGTGAATAGGTCTCTTCAAACTTTGACACATTATCTGCATGTCATGGACCCAATTTAAATTTTGAGTGTTTGCATTTGCTGAACTAAATAACATCTGCCCCATCTTACACCTTTGTAAAATTATTTCCAAAACATCCCCTTGGATGCTTCTTGTTAATAAATTCTTACATACTGCAATAGTATTACAGGTAGTATTATAGTAATTGACAAGTTTTCATTATTGCTGTGTTCTTAAGTATTTGTCACAATTCACAAAATTATGATCTCATATTACACATGAAGGGTACTTGTTTTGATGAAAGAATCAAACATTACAAGAAACTTCTTTAACTAACAATTGCATATTTTGATTTATCTAGGCCCTACTTGACAAGCCCCATTCCTGTAGTAGTTACTGATGTTTTGGCCAACATATTGTGGCCTTCCTCAGAGTGTCTGAAGAAGACAATAATATGTTGGTCAAACATCAGCCACTACAACAGAGATATAGCTTGTCCCCCAGGTAGTGTAGATAATACAAACTCTGTCCTCTGCAATTAATTGCATATTGTTTTGAGAATTACAAGAAAAAAAATAGATACAGTTAAAGAAAGTGAAAAGACTTTTCCAATTAATTTATTTGATCATATATTTGAAACCATTATTTTCTTGTGCTTTTTAATTCACTACTTTCGTATTCTTTTGTGCAGGCTCCTTGGACTCCTGAATTGCCGCCGATTCCATCATCATCTCGACAGCTACCAACCGATGGACCAAGCTCTCTTTGTGATTTGAGCAAGCATCGGTCCAGCACTTCTTGCTCTGAACCAACCTATGACACTTACTACTTTATCTAATCTGACAGTGTCAGTTCTCTCTGATGCAGTCAGAGGGTGGTAGCACGTGCAAGTGCATTGCCTCTGTGAACATGCTGCAGGGATTGTGAATCTTTCCCTACTGTTGGCTGATGAGTTCCCTCTGCTGCATGATGTCTTCTGTTATGAATTCTGGATGAGTGTCTAGTTGGCTGTGAAAGAAATAAGGCATGATTTTTTTTTCATCAAAATGTCGATGCTATTTTCTTTTCACAGAATGGGCTGAAGGTTACCTTTCAGGATGGATAACCAAAGATACAAGTTATGAAGGCAATGTAAATGTGTAAAATATGTTTTGCCATGGTACATGGCTTTGTAGATGTGCAGCTTGAGAGACCTGTCAGTCCAGATCCCATCTTGGGTTCTTTGTGAATTTGTTGTAACAATTGGATATGCTATGTATTGCTGTCTGTAGCTATTTTCATGTGTAAAAAATATTCTTTGAGAGCTTTGTGAATCTGATGTACCTTTATTATGGTATATTGGAAGTTGAAGTGTTTGGCAGGCAAATATATGAGTAGTTATGATTTTCCATGAGGAAACTGTTCATAAGTAGAATGATATGCTAAGTAACGTCAAAATTACATGATAGTGTTAAAAACACAATTTAAGTATATTTTTGGGATAATGAAATGGGCAGAAATGTCCAAACCCAAATCATTGCCTGTGCAATATAATTTTAGTGGTACCAAAAATTGATTAATCCAGTCGTTAGTTGTTTATTTGTAGAATACTGGCAAAGCTATGAACTGCTGTTGTACAGTGAAGAAACACCAAAGGAAAACCTACAATTAGTCTAGTTCCTTGTTTGAAGATGACAAAATGTAGTGTTTGGTGGTTGCACAGAAATGTCCATCAACCTGTGTCTTTGTGAATGCCTGGATTTAGTTCTTGGGATTATCCAATTTGATGCATGCTGTAGGTCGTCTATGTTGCCACTCAGACACTCACCTTCAATGGAGTATTTACTATTTTGTATTGTCTGCTAGTACAGTAGTTTATACCAAAGATTATGTGTATTATTTGTTCTATAAACTCAGTGTGCTATGATTTATTATTGTATATAATCAAAAATTTTAAAATAAATGCACGAAACATATTTATATATTTTTTTAATTAAAATCCCGTACTTCATAAATATACCTAAACATTCTCTTGAACTAAATATTTATGCTGGTGTAGTCCACCGAACAGTACATCTTTCACAAAATGCAGGGGTGGATCCAGAAATGAAGTTTGGGAGGGGACATTTTTTTATTCAAAATGTCTTGGTCAAATGTGTAATATTACAGATAATGTAGAATGACCAAACTAAACCTAGTTCATGACAAATTAAAATTAATAGCTACTGAACAATTTTGGGAGGGGAAATTTCCCTCATTTCCCTCCCTGTGGATCTGTGCCTGCAATATACCACATCTATCTACTTCCAAGTATTGAATAAATGTTGACATTCTGATAGCACTTCATTCCAACCATTATGAAGAATGACAATAAGAACAACTTCTTATCGAATGAATGTAAAATCAGAGGCATGTGCACATGGGGACAGAGGAATCATGGCTCCTCTGAATATTTTGTGAAGGGTCTCATTTCGTTATGTAATAAAACATTTTATTTCTGAAGTGTATCTAATTCCTAATTTCCACCTTTTTTTACACAACAATTTAGGGAGTTGTTATGAATTTGGTGAAAAGAATCCAAGCCATCTGACAACTATATTAATGGATAAAAATAAAATCAATTTTATTTGATAACTTTTATGATTAAAATTACTATTATACACTTGTAAGTCCTTTAGTATGTTTTCTATATATACTAGTTAAGTCTCATATGTAAATAAAAATATGTTCTTAGGAACAGGGGGACCAGAAATGCAATTGACCCCAATTCTTGTTTTAGGCTGTGCATGCCAATGTGTAAAATTAAGTCTGTTATTTAAAATATTGTTTAAATGACCCAATATGTAGACTTTCAGCAGAAATCAGCTTTGTAGACTGTCAAGAAGTAACTGTTGTTGACTAGAGACTTCTGAATTTTTATGAACATAAATTTTAAACAGAGATTAGTTTTGAGTGCTTTTAGTTCCTTTTCCAGACCATAACCAATTGCGGACAGTATCTGGGTGAAACATGCATGTGAATGAGAGAAATTGCTTTCAACATGTTATTAATAGTATAATATTTGAAAATAAAAGTTTGTATTGTCTTTTGAAGGTAGCAATATTTTTTTTTAATGGTTTTATTCTGCTAGAATCTGCACACTGCATTTACTATTCTGAAATTATTAGTATATTGCCCAACACATCATTTCGCAAATACTGGCCAAAACCAGAATTGTAATGGCCCTTACATGTCGTTTGTGATATCAGCTGTGGGTTAACAGTGCAACTGGGTATCCAGAGGTTAAACCTGAGGAGACTTCTCCTGCAATGTAGCCATCATCATGATCTTGAAAGCTGAAGGCAAGTCTCAAATCTTTTGCACTCTTTACATCAATCTATTTTTTTAAATAATAACCTTGTGGAGAAAATTTTGTATATGACAGTAAAAATATTTCTTGAGGCAGACTTGTCTTCTTTGCATATCCTGAAAAGTCTCCTCTTATATGGAAATAATAAGTTCATATCAACTTTATGAACATTATATATCTGACAATATGTTCAAGAAAATTACTAGTACATACATAACATGCTATAGAGAGTTTAATGTGGAATATCACCCTTGGGGCAAGATGTGCTGTATGCACATCTATAAATAAGAGGAAAAATCAAATCATTAAAAGAGAAGCCAAGTTAAAATCACAAAAGATGGAACAGATGAACGCTAGTCAAGATCTCAGCTAATAAATTATCTTCACTCATTCATATTTGTAGGGCTGCCAGTCTCAGTTGGGGAAAAAAAAAGAAAAGATAAACACTCATTCTCCAGAAGAAACCCTAGGTAGTCAAATGAATGTAGTAATATAATATTGTAACTCCTGCTTGATTTTAGGTGACAATTTTCTAAATTCTACTGTTCACAAATTATAAAATTGATAAAAAGATTTGCCATCATCTAGGAATACATTTTTCATATTAAGATGTTTATTAAAAGTTTTTATATTAGGAATTAAACATTTTATAAATCCTGTGTTAATTAAAAATGTGATCGTAGGGTTTTTTTTTTTCTGAAAGATAGGATTTAAGCGGGCTTGGCCGAAAAAAAAAAACAGAAAAAATAAATCGGCCGTAACAGAAGATATGCCTGGGGGAATAGAAGACAGCCTGCAGCTCTTCATACTTGTGAATGGAGTGAAGTGTGGTGAAGTGATTAAAAATATGTCGAAAATAGTACTAAACGTACTGTTGGATCCACGGAAGCGGGGAGGGAGGGAGTGGATGGGGATCCATGCCCCCCAAAAAGGACAAGAGTTTTCTTTTATCTTCCTTTATTTGGCAAAAGTGTTTTAAATATATGTTTGAATTCTGTAATTATTTAAACTATAATATTGTGTAGTACATCTACAGTACACAAATAATAAACAATGTAATAACAATAAAGTTTATAATTTACAAAAGTTTACGATCCATCCCATCCCAAATGATCAGCTGGATCCGATTCTGACTAAACGAAATACAAAACAAGACACTTCAATAAACGTACACTCTTGCTTTCAAAAACTGATTCGTCCGGTAAGTTTCTGTGAAAATAAATGTGCATTTTCTTCAGCTGGTATCTGACTAAAAAGGCGGTAAAAATGTAACGTAGTGTGATGGCGAACATATGCATAATACTCTGAAATGATGATTATTAATAATTTATCAATTGGAAACAAATGAGAATTCCTAGCAATTGAAATGGTACTGGTAAAAATAAGATTGTATTTTGGCAAAACGCCAGGGACATCACATTGAAATGCAGGGATTCCCCCAGGAAGTTTGGAGAAAGGGGACTCATACCATCACCACCAACATACTGTATTACCTCCTAAGTAAATGTATTTTCAGTGTGAAAATTGAAGTTAATATTAAATGTTGAAAAGGTCGAATGAGTTATAAGGACGGCATAAGAATGTTATAACACTGTCAGTACAGAAAATCGGAAGTTAATGAGCTCAATAAACTGTTACATTTTCAGATGTCACCTGAATGTGGGTTCGTTAACACTGGCAACACTGATGATGGACAGTATACCTACTTTTCGTGTAAAAATAGATGATAAATGAAACACTTCGAGATTAATTCTTTGTGATTGTATTCACTGTGTCGTCGCTGATCTTTTTGTACGTTAGAGAGCAGATGACAGTTGCTAATGGTACTTATGAATTGCGATACAGTGAGCCTGAGATTCGTACGCAAGAGAGAATTCTAGTAACTTCAATGCGTTGTTGGCACTGCGTGCCCTTGCAGCGCTGCTTCCCAATGCCATCGGTGCGATTCGTGACCACTCGGGATGTTGCCTCGCCGGGTCTTTGTGCCAACGTCGCTGTCGCATTAGTTGCACTGCATTGAGATGTGCTGATACGTTGTAGAGTATTATCCGTATTCGCGCCTGTTGAAGCTCGCCGGAACGTGGCCGGCGAATTTTGTGGTGTAGTCGGTAGACCTAAGAGTGATATAAACTGGTTAAACGACTGCAGCGGCAAGACAACTAGATTAGGCGTCATCAATTCAGCGTTTGTTGCATCTTGTCTAAAAATTAGGATACAAAATGTGTCGTTGCTTCTGTAACTGCAAGATTTTACATGCTCGCCCTTGCTGCGTATTCATATGCTGTACCCTGTTGGTCATTTGCGTTGCTGTGGGTTTCGGTAGGTGAAACAGAGTATCTGTGTGTGATAGAGAATGGCAAATATGTAGTGTATAATTCAGTACAAACTATTCCAAACGTACAGTTGGGCTGATTTTCTACTGTATTAAAACGTGCTTTTTATTAAGAGAATTTGTTTCTTTAAGTTGTAGTTAATTACTGGCCGGAAAATTCTGGAAAGAATGGTACTGACGCTTGGACGTGCTATCGCTCTAGTTGCAGAAGGTGCGAACTCCTGGAAGAGCCATCAATTCAACTAAACGCCTCAAGTTCGTATACAATATGTTTTCGCATATATAGAATATGAGTGAATAGATAATTATTTTAAACAATTGAATTTACCTACATCGTTCATTTCTTGGTGGTGGAAATTAATATCGTTCCTGCTTGTTTTCACCCTCCTTCCAATTAACTAAATATTCAAGAAAGAAAAATTACTCTTCTTAAAAATTGAACGAAAAATCCGTTCATGAAGATAAAATATCTTAATTGATACGTAGTTCGCGGACTTTTTAATTAGCCTTTTTTTCTTTATTTTTGTGTGAAAATAAGAATATCACTATAGTCAATTTCTTTGATTGTGAATTCATTCAAAGGAAGAAGTTCATACTTTTTATGTTAGATTAAATATTACATTAGAATTGCAGGAAAATCATGATTGCATGGTACTTTTTAGAATGGCCTTAAATTGATAGGACTGGAATAAAAAAACTTTGAAGCACTTCAAATTTTTTTCATTCTGAACCAACTTTTTAAAAAGGAAGGTGATCTACTTCTCTTGCACTTTCAGATTGATGAATTTTTAGGCAAGTCCTATTTATTTATTTGGATGTAGACAGAAAATAATTATTAAGCTCTTTTGGTATTGAGGAACCACATCTGCCAGTTGTGGATGGATAACATGGAAAAATAAGGGAATTTCATTAGTAATGAAAATTTTTTTAGAGAAATTATGAGAAGTCTGGAGACATTTAAAATGGTTCTAAAATACAATTTTTAATTTGCTTTATAACATTGGTATATATCATTATTTTTAGCTAACATTATTTGTTAAGCAATTTCACAAATTTGTTTAACAAATAAACAATATAATGTAAAAAAAATAATTTTCACAGTGAATTCAGAAAGCTGAAATATGGACATTGTATGTTTGTATTACAAAGAATTTTAAAAAGCATAATTAGGAAATGTCATTGCAAAATCTGAGGACCAAAGCTTATATAATCTTGACAAGTCAATAAAAAAGAAAGTATTGAATTTTTTGTCTTTTGCTTGGTGCATCATTAAACATTTGATATTACAACAAGTAAGAGGAAATAGTCTTATTGGAAGAAACAATATCTAATGAAGTGGTACTAATTCATTTCCATCTTGTAAAACCTGAAGAAAGAACTGTCTGTCATTTAGTTTTTGGTGCACCTTCAGAAATAATACACCAAAAACTAGGGATCCAGTGACTTTTATTGTTGGATGTAAATTGCAATTTAAATGAAATGTTTAAAAAAAATTACTGATTTAGATCATTTTTAACAAGTTGTTAAAATAAACATTTATTCTGTTATGTTTCTTTCAAAGAACTGAGAATAATGAAAATTATTTAGAATTACAAATGTAAATAATACAGACTTATAGCTGCCAATTTTGTTCTGAATGACTCTAATATGTATGAAGATCAACACAACATCGATAAAATTTTGCAGATTATTCTCAGGATTCATAATTTTGTATAAAAGCACGTGCTTGGCAGTGTATCCAGTTCACAAATGATTCACCCTGAAGGTGAATTTTTTCTCCATTTTAGGAAAAGTGAGAATGGCTTTTACTCCTCTCTTAAGTTAAGCATTTCACGCGGGCTGTGGCTACGCAATGCTCTCAGTGGTATTCTTGCTCATATCTAACTCTCATTTGCCCCACATTGTAAGTGATCAAAATCTTTCTTTAGCATAGTTTTCAAAAAAACTTTTTGCCATAGCTACAGGTATGTGAAATGCAGATTTTGTGCAATCGATCTTAACAGTGTTTTTACAGCTGAAGTATGCAACTTAATAAAGTCAAGACAGTCCATAGATTCTCAAAACTGAATTTTAAGATTTAAAAATTCATCAGCATTCATCAAGGATTTAAATACATTCTATCTTCTTAAACTTTTTTAAAAAGAATCCTGACAACATACTACTGCAAAGAAATATTTTCTTAAAAAATGTTTCCTCTTTGTCACAAACCATTGACAGATCTGAAGTCGTCTTGTCTGACAGACCTGACAACTAGTATTGCTCCTTCATGTTTGTTTACAACTCAAAAAAATTGATTTGTGGAAACCATCACCGTATCATGAAGAGTGCTTAAGAATAATCTAGCATACCCTTTCTGATGGTTAAATTACCATATCTCTTGATAGACTGTTTCCAGTAGGTTTTGTAAGGAATGTGGTGAAGAAGAATTAATATGCTATTTTTAGGCCTTACAAATTCAAAATGAATTATGTTAATAAAACAGTTATGTGCTTTTGTGTGTTTCAGTGTGTACAAATATAACTTACCTTTCAGAAGATGATGGATATTTCTATATTGTAACAGTGAATGAATCGGTTGTAACTAATGAAACCTTAACAGGTACAATTGTGGATTAAATGATGTGTGTATTGTATAAAGATTCCTTGTGCAATTTACTAATCTGTGAATATTTCAGATTTAAATCCTCTTCCAGTCTGCATAGAAGAACCAACTGTAGAACAATATGCTAAGGCTTGCCTTCATTTATATGATGTTAATGCTACTAATTCAAGTCTGCATGTTTGTGCACACGTGGAAGTTACAAAGAAACTACATTTTATAAAAAAATTTGAATTTGGGTGCTTTGACATAAAACCTCTTAAAACAGGTAAACCATTAGCAGTTGTGGAAGATAATACTAAACATTCTGTGATAGTCACCTGAGAGAATCTGTTTTGTGAGTTGTAAAGAAGGCTAATGATTGATGTTCAAAAATTTGTGGTAATTGAATCTCAAGACTTTTGAAGTTCTTGTGTTTGAATATATATTTACTTTTTATTTTAATATCTTCATATTTTAAAAAGGTAATTGAATCTTATCAGTTGTTTAAATTGATATTACATTTTGAGTTGTTTACAGACATAATGCAGGTCAAAATGTTTGTTTTATTGTAAAGTGCCTTAAATGTTGGTCAGTTTGGCTAAGTGCTTACATCATCTGTGTTGCAATTGTAATTTATTTATAGATGTAAAAAAACTATAAATAAATGATTCTATAGAATTTTTCATATTATTATCTGAAAATATTGATTTTTAAAAGGTCTTTCTATGTATCTAATATGTCCAAAATTAATAATAAAATCCTTGTGAAACATATTTTTTCCAATTAACATAATTAGCATTTCGAAAATATGTTAACACCAAGTTTCTTCAAATCTTTGATTTGTGATGGTTGCTGTGTTTGAGATACAAATTGAAGGGTTCTGAGAACAATGTGCTTTCCCATATTGACCTAGTTCTGGAATATTTAGGATTTCTCTAGAACTTTAATAAAGTTTTGAAACTGTGGATCGGTAAAATCTTCCTGAATTTTTAATGTTATAATTATCTATTTTATACAAATCACAAAACGCTTATCTTTTTCACTTGTCAAAAATGACTTTGATGTTAATCATTCTCTTTTGCAACAGTTGGTCACTGTGCATTTTGGCAGTCACAAACTTTGGTCTTTTAGGCTTTCTTCTCCACTTTTCCTTGCCTTCATTCTAACCTTTCATTTCTAGTTCTCTGGATCTCTTTCCCTATTGTGTAATGTTTTATGTACAGGATGAGCATTCTTATCATCGGTAACCTCCGAAGTTATGGTAACAACATTTAGTCTGTCATGTTAATTTACTGTGATTATACACAAACCATTTTTATTTTATGGCAAACAGCTACAAAACAATAAATATAAGCTTTTGACTCCATATGGAGATTTACTGTAAAAAAAAAAAGAAAAAAAAAGTTAAAACTAGAATTGGCCCATGTTTGAATAAGGTTTCTGCAAAGCTGATGTACAGAAAGTTTATAAACAGTCCACTAGCATAGAAGCCTATAGTGGATATGAATAACCCTAAATGAAAAATGTTTTTAGTATTATACTTTACGTTAATAACTCAATTTCATACAAACATTGGATAGCAACTTAATTATACAGAGCCTTTCATAGAATAGAAATATTTTTTTAAAGCAGTTGTTCCTATTTATTTATTAATGAAATTTAATAATAGATAGCACACTAAAGTGATATAAGTAATATTTTAATGATCGAAGTACTTCTATTTTGAAGATTCCAATTCCAGTATAAATCTGTGCCAAATTATTTAGAAGGTTATGTATTCACGAAGACTACTTGTAATGTAGTTGACTAAGTCCAGTAAGTGGTAGGTCTGTGAGGGGCTTGGAGGTCAGCAGGACCCATTTCCCAAATCAATTTTTGAAATAAAATGCCTTTGATATGTTAGAGCAAGTCTATGTATCAAGTCCAAGGAGAGTAACAAGAGTTTTGGTGTGTTTGTGTTTAATTTGATTATTTTACTAAATGTATTCAAAACAATTGCTACAGCATGATCCTGATATTTGAAGGAGTATTTCCAATATGATTATATTTTTTTTAAGTTGAACATTTTTTGAGTTTTCATCAACGTTTTTTTTTCTCCTTCCTCTATTTTCTGTTCTTAAGTATTGTCAATATTCACATTGATGTCAATTGTAGAGATCTTAGATTCTGTCGTGATATTGATGTTAAATAGTTGATGATAGAACATACAACCTCCTTTAGTTCTTGAAATAGATTGACATAGGTACTAAAATGAGATATTGGTATCAAATTAGGGGTGATTTCAACTAATGTCTGATGAAATCTAAGAACATTATATTCAGTGATGGGCTCAATTATAACAATTCATTTTTAAATGAGAAATAAATATAAAGAACATTATACAAAATTAATACAATGCAAAGTAATAAAACATAAGCAAAATATAATAATAATGATACAACAACAATAATATTATTGATAATAAATTACCAAAGAGACTATAATATCAATAAGTCTCCAAATTTAGATAATCTGTGTTAGAGGGTACAAAATTGCATGTGACTGGAAATATTAAGACCTCATTAAAAAAAAACGTTTTCCCCAGTTTAATCTTGATGTTGGTTAATGAAATAGTAGATAAAACTATCTTACAAAATTGCAAATTTCTTTGCTAATCTCGTACAAAATTGGAATTTTCTTTAAAAAATTTGCAACCTTTTTTAAGAAAATGGCACTTAAGTGGTACTGTAAACTCAAAATTAAAGCCCCTTTCCACAGAAAATGTTTGAGTTTTCAAAAAAAAAATCAATTGAAGTACTTTACCTCACAAATACAACAGTATTAACAAATTGCTGAAAATGTATATATATGAATGACATGAGAGATATTTAAAGAAACAACAACAAAACACTTGTGTAATTTTTGAAGAAAAAAAAATACCCTGAAATGAACTTTGCGTCATATTACAGAGTGCAATTAGCGCTATTCATTTGAAAAGTTTGAAGAAGAAAAAAATTTGAGTTAAAAAAAATGACGTTTGAGTTTTTTAGAAATGTTTTCTGACATTATTTAAAGCACATGTACTCATCAATTCAATAATGTGAACAAATTGCTGCTAATATAAATATTAACAATGTAAGAGACGAGTCCAAAAAATACATATTCTGTATTAAAAAAAAAGAAAACAATAGAGCAATAAGTTATGTCATCTTTTATAGTACATTTACCACAACCTCTGCCAAAAGTTTACAGAAAAATGTGGAGCGGTTTTTAGAAAATAGTGTTTTTCTAATGTTTACAAACTGCTTATACTGTTTGAAATGTTGCGCGAAAACAACTAAAAGTTTTTTTTAAAAAAAGTACATGATGTTAATGAAAGAACTCACTCTGGAGAACAAATTTTATTTGAAGGAAATATCTCTATCTTCAATTTTGATGTTGCAGCAAGACGCCCGAAAAGTTTTGAAATTTTCGAAAATTCGGAGTTAAACGTTCATGTAAAGTACACACAAATTTTAAAAATTAGAGTTGCCTTACGTTTCAGTGCCGGCGAAGTAACATTTTCTGGCGTGTTGTGTAAATTAGAATTTGCGGGGTGGGGGTTAGGTTGAAGAGAGAATTAAAAATACACATTTTGAACATAACAATAATGATGTAATTTTTAACAACAATTTTATTTGGCAATTTAATTTCCTTTTCTTATTAACTTAAAATAACATACATACCCTATATTTTTAAAGTTTACAATAACATTTACGCACCGTTTACAAAACTTATTTCAATATCTAATAAACTATTTTATTCCAAATGTTTCTTTTCGTACTTTGTTTTTATTTATAAAATCATTAATTTTGTCATATCTAATGCTTTCGCTGCTTCTTGATGAATGTTCAAAAGAGCTAATAAGTTCAAACGTTTTTGAAGTTGGGTGTTTAACATTTCGATACGTTCAAAAATTGCAATGGAAATATGCAGTAAAAAGAAGAAATCAAATGACATCAAATTTCTTCGAAATCCAGCTGCTTTTGCTGAGACGCTAGAGTCTGCATGTCTGTCGTATTCCAATTGTTCGAAAAATGTTAAAGCGGCTTTTTAATTGTCTCCTGCTTGAAGAGTTTTAAGAGATTTGACTCGCATACACCACCTACATAAACAATGAAATTATGACATTCATATAAATACAAATTTTAATATTTATACTATAACACTAAAAAGACATTTTATCTGGTTGGGCAAAATGGAGATATGATACGACTCGTTTCAAATTGCAAATCTTTGAAGATTGGTAATCGCTTTGGCGAATTTCTTAAGAAATTTACTAATACTTTGAAGGTACCAATAAAGTTTCTTGAATTACAGACATCTTCCATTGCATCTTGTACAACAAGGTTAAGGGTGTGTGCTGTGCAATGTACAAATAAAGCACGAGGTTCTTTTTCAATTATAAAACTTTTCAAACCAGAAATTTTGCGGCTCAAGTTAGATGCCCCATCGTAACTTTGTCCTCGTAAATGTTTGAAACTTAAGTCAAATCGCATAAAAATGTCTTCAGTGATTTTCAATAAAACTTTCAATAAGTACTATGTGTCTAATAAAAACCAACAAAAATTTCTTGAATTGTTAAATCGTCCAATACAGTCCGCAGACAAATCGACACTTGTTCCATTCGTGAAGCATCGGAAGTTTCATCTACTATTAACGAAAAAAATATAAGTTGTAATTTTTGTCTAAGGATTTCATTTGACATGCATTCCAATATTTCATTAATAATATCGTGATGTAACCTCATACTTTGTGATCTACCGAATCCACGGAATCATTGCTTCTTGTTTGTAAAAACTGTATGACGTATGATTATTCGTCGTTGCCACTTCCGCGTAACGCTAAACCTCGCCGTGTTAATAAATTTGAGAGTGCTAAATATTTTTTCCAAAGCTGATCGATTGTCCATCATTTCTTTTCGTTTTTGATCAGATAATCGTTCACAAACACTTTTATTTTTGGAACTGCATATTGCTTGTGCGCAAGATAAATGTAATTCTCCAGATTTGTGTTTCTTGAAAGCAATGACTGCATTTTTCCAACAATTGAAGCCATTTTCAACGAACGATTTTAAAGATACGTGGCAGCTAAAACTTGAAGGAATTGGCAACTGATTTTCTTTAGCTTCAATGCAAATTGTACATATAGCTTTCATTTCCGCGTTAAGTGTCAACCACTTATAAGTATTTTGCCAACGTCTAAAAGCAGCAGGTACTTTTTCTCCTGAAAATTAACGTAAAGATAATTATTTTAAATAAAATGTAAATAATATTACAGTATTATAGGCAATTCCAAAAATGTATATACAACAGAATGCAAATTAAATTAAAACTTGTACTGGAATTCAAAAATTGAAAATATAATTTAAATTTAATAATTAAATGTTTCTCTATATTTTATCTAGAATTTGAAATTAATAATGTTTAAATTAACATGTACCTGGAGTAGAATGGCTTAGTGTTTTCGTTGTAGTATTTTCTGGCTTATTTAATGTGCTGGATTGTACATCTGATGACAAAGTAGCCGTATCCTAAATTAAATAAAATAAACATACATACGAAATATAAGTGCTTTTAACAAAACGATTGGTATATAATTATGAAAATGCTAATACTTTCGTTGGAATTTGTTGAAAAAAATATAAATTGTTCCTTGTTTCCTTCTCTTACTTATATTTATTGCGCAAATTGAAATTGAAGATAATGAAAGTAAACAATTAAAAATCATTAATTTTTTTCTCAAATCTGAAGCACAGACGTAAAATCGTCGGCGTACTATGCCTGAATAAACTTAGTTCGCTATTCAAATTTTAGCTATTCCCAAGAAAGATGTTTCTTTTTTATGTGAGAAATGTATGAGTTACATTATCGATTGATTCGTAAAGTTAACAATTATATCTCGGCGAGATAATCTCGCAGCGACACAGTATTTAGTTTTAAATATTATATTAGCTTTCCGGAATGTATTTAACATTCATGGACTTTTACACATGACTTAAATAAAGGGATTTAATCATGGTTAAATTGTAATAATATTTACTGTGTCTATTTTCAAATCACAATAATTTTTATTATTGATTCAAAAAATGTATTATTTCTTTGTTTTCCAAAAAATCAATTTTTATTTTCAATACTTTTGGGTATGGAATTCCATATGCAGATATTTTCGGCGTATGGAGTGCTCCATACACACCAGACAATGAGCGCCGCGCATGTTTACGTCCTGATAAAGCGAGATATGTCCTGAATATCGACATCTGTCTCGCCAGATTTTTCTTTGTTTCTGTCAAATGTCCTGAATTAGCACACTCTGTTATAATACACATAGTCCCACAAAAAAACCTCCGTTTTTGGACTACTCGTGAACAACATTAGAG